GGCTAAGTCTTTAATTGAACGAATCATATATTCATTCAAATTTCGTTTAGAATTACGTTTATTGAAGTGTATCGATTGAAAAGAGAGAGTGTAGAGAAAACAAAAAACAAWAACAATAACAAAAAATWAACAAACACAAAACAACAACAAACAATATTGTTTCGAGGTGTTTGAAGACTMTGAAAAAACATTTTAATGCTTAAAAGCACGAGTTGGAGAAATGTCTTTTCTGACACATTTAGCAAAATGTCAGTTGATTTGCTTGTGTAAATAAGCTCTCTACCCACGAACCAAGTAATGCGAAATTGCGCAATATAGTCTAAACTAGACAATTAAAAAAAAAACAACAGCAACAAACGAAATCGCATAATTCAATATAATTTGGTTTTTCACATTTTAAGGTTTAAGCGCGCCCATTTAACCAGCACAAAGTTCCGGTGCGGGAAAAAATAACAACAGATTATTCGCAAGTAATCAAGAAATATAAAACGTGCGCTTGTCCCTGCCCTGTGATAAAAACACAACTGCGATGACTGTTCTTTCTTCACGCATGGTCTCTCCATCTCAAACCACATCTATATTAGAGGACAGAGACAAAAGCGGACGTTCTATGTTTCTTTTATAAAATATTTCTGCCATTTTGGATTTCGATTTCTTGCAACTTCTTGAAAAGCGTTTTTAAGGAATAGCGCCCTAAGGCTGTGGTACGACCACTGGGGAAGAAATGATGATGATGACGCGAGCGGCGCACCACGTCTTGCCACTATTATGTCATCATTTATTGAGAGCTTGCGTTTTATCTCTAAAATTTTACAAAACGKTATAAACTTTCGATAAGAGATGAATTTGATAATCGAATTATTTTTCTTCAAGACTGCACGAAAATCCTCTCAACGCCTACATCACGCCTTACTTCATTGACTCAATTTTGCCAAAGGCAATTAATGGCTATTGTGTAGTGATGGCTTTTATGTATAATGGTTTTTGATGTCTTTTGTTTACTGATAACTGTTGATTTGCCTCGAAAGGAAGCTATATCTTGTCCTATAAGTTATGACTCATTAAAGTGCAGTTTTAGACTATTTTTCATATCAATATAATAACACTAGCAATGTCCCAACATCATTGAACAACTAACAGACAAACTTGATATACGTATTTTTAGCGGAAATCGTGACATCGTAGTTTTCTGGCTTTTTTTTCGTCCTGGGGCGTAGATTGCACCAATTGTTTCTTTCATGCTATTTCTGATGACTCGGAAGTATTATTATAATTACGGCAGAAACCTTTTAGTTTTGTCTGTAAACTCATTGCCTTCTTTACAAGGTTGCTGTCCGTTTTTGCTGTCTCACCAGATAAAATAATTCTATTGCAAAAGGTCCGTTTCACCTACATCTGGTAATCCATTTTGTATATGACGTCATCATGAATCAGATTGAAGAAATCAGTAACAAAGTTCAAAGATTTGAAATTTTAACATCGCGAGGCAATAATTCTTTTAAGGAAATCAAGACTTCGTTTACACGTGGAAGTCATGTTTGAGTGAAGGCACATTGGTGTTGAGACAGTTCAGATTGGCTAATAACCTTTATTTGCTAGAAAAAATAAAAAATAAAAACGCCGCTTCTTTCTTTTAAACTTATGAGGCAGTTTCAGTGTGAATTCGCCGACAGACTCACGGACAATCTGTTTATATAGGAAAGCTGTCTTTAATCCGTTCTATCTCTACCTCCGGCTTGCCTTTTGTATAAACGATATCTCAATTCAAATCCCGAGGCATCTTTTATCTGGGATTGATAAATATTGTCGGACAACAAATCAACGGTTTTCAGTTCGAGGTTTTGCTCGRCTTAGTCTGATTTTCTGTGAGTCAACAAAAAGGAAACTTCAAGCTAAGATACCGGAAATAATTCAACCTTGTCATTAGGTTTAGAAAACCAAGGGGAAAAACGAAGAAGAAATGACAAACTAGGTAAGTTATTTTGGCACTGTGAGGGGAAATTTTTTTTTCAGTAAGGTTTTCAGCTTTTATAAACATATCAAGCAAACTTAGCATATTTAGAAATGCTTTGTTCGGTTGTTTAAAGTAAAGTCATTAGAGTRAAGGCATTTAACTTGTGAAATTTGGTCAGTGTGATAGTCAAATAGACAAACGAAAACAACTGGAATCAGAGCGTACTAGGGTGTATTTCCCATCGCACGGCAAAAAGGACAACAAATTCGCACTGAGAAAGCATTAAAGTTTATTTCTAAGCTATAAAAACTAGAATATAAACCCCTCGAAATAATCCAATTATCAATGTAGAAAATGCCCTCATTTTGAAGAAAATTTCAACGGCTTTCAGCCGATAACCGCCTTAGGAGGACTGAAGCCGACCTCCCTTCTCAATTGTCTGGTAATCCTGTGCTCAGTTAGGAAAGCATATCTAATGATCGATAAACAAACTACACGTGAATAGGAYTTTTGTATGTGGATTGCACAAAGATGATTTGGAATTAGAAACATAATRTCTATCTCTATTTTTAGCTTAAAGGGCCATGGTCCGCCAGCATTCAATGCGGTCGTGTTTTAGGTTTTTCATGATGTGGAAAATGAGGTGACTTCGAATATCCATTCGCAATCCGTTTCTATTCATCGGTTGAAAGGTCGAATCTTACTGTATCTCCATTCATATAATATAAAGGGATAATAAAAAGTAAGTTTTTGCTTATATTACGATGTGTTTATAATTTTTAAACATTAGCAAAAGCTCGAAAGGGATGCTGGTGGAGCATGTCCCTTAAATGTCGTGAGGGATGTGATGCCATTTAACTCTATCAAACCCTGCGGGTAGACTTTTATCGGCAGACAATAATTAAATCTCCTTCTTTTTAATGTCTTTAAATCTAGACATCAAAAAGGATGGATCATGACGTCGTTTGGTGGCCATCTTGAATAKACCTTATCATTGGCAATTACGGTGYCCATTTTGATACTCTTTAAACTTTATTTTATATTTTATCAACTCGGTGATCATATTGATTTGTGTTCTAGCTCTATGGATTCTAAATTTCATTTTGTGTAAGAGTTTAAACTCAAAATACTGATCTTTTACGCGCTAAAACACCAGGATTTTTAGGAAAACTAGTTTCGTTTTATATAAAATCTCTTCAATTCCTGAAGTTTATAATCTGACATAGAGAAATATCCAATTTATGGATTCTTTCTTTCATGTAAAGCACGGATAACTTTCAAGATGGCGCAGGGAACCGTGAAGGAGACTATTGCGTGCCTTGTACATCCCACTAGTCAGTATTCCTCAAACATTTCAAAACAAATAACACTAGAGCACATTGAATATTAAAAAAAGAGACCGTTGTCTGACATCTTCAAAGTGTTTTTTTGAATTTTATTTCTGGAATATTTTCTTTCCGGTCGATTGGACATGAAATAATTAACACAAACTCCCCTCATTCTCGCAGAAAAGACGAGAATTCAAAGAGATTTCGAAGCTTCCGTCGAGTTTTCCGCTGTAAACGTGATTTGGATTATTGCTCCCATCAACCACCAAAATGTCAATCCGCTTACTGACTAAGTGCTTTATTTTAAATGGTTGGGCTATCGGCGTATTATAAATTGATTGCGACACGCCTGGTATCTTGTGATATGCGCGCACTGTCTCTGTTAAGAAGATCCATGTCATTTCTCGTGATAAGCTAAGTCTGAGTCGATCTTCTTTGAGTTTCTTTAATGTGTTTTCTGCCGCTAAGATAGTTATTTCTCTTCATGCCACAGCGTGGACACTTCCAGGAAATGCTCCACCAATTTAGAGCAATCAAATATGGCTGTCTTGGAATCCGTTTTATCCTTGCTCAAGCGGTTAAAGAATTAATTTCATGAAGTCAAGGTCAGGAAAGGGGATCATATACTACTCCTATTTTCAGACTTTTCATAGGAATGTCATCTGTGATCTTTGGGCTCGGATAAAATATAATATGGTAGCGTAGCAAACGTTATACAATCTATTTATCTTCCATTAATGCTTTTTGTTCAGGAGCTTTTTTCTTAGGAGCGAGTTTAAGTAGCCATGCGACTCACTTTGGAAATCAGTCAAATAGCTTCAAATTTGTTTTGAATCCAGTCCAATAGTGAAACACATTGTAGATCTTAATTGAATTATTATAATTTCAATACGGCAATCTTCAACGCAAAACAGATTTGCTGCCGTCGTCGTGTATCTGCGTCCTCTCGGTCACGTGATTACTTCGTCGAGCGATTATCGATCATTTTCGGATGTTTCACTTCGGTTTTACTTCGACAATGTTGGCAACTTTGCTCGAACTGTTTTACTATATGTCATCGCGCTCGAACCCAGCATATAACAGCCACTGAGAAATGATTGAGATGTTCACAAAGACACATTTTTAAAGTTTGATAATTTCAAAAGAATCTCTGCGAAAAGGAACATCGCGAAACTCACAAAATTACTACTCTTTCAATCATTTTTTTACAGTTGCACTTTCTTTCTTTCAGACAGGATTATGCGTTTTTTTTTACTGAAATAGAGTATAAGCCACCAAATCGTATATTCATTTTTATGTAAATCTGGAAATCTGATTCATTAGTGGAATTCATAAGTTCAAATCGCATAATTTACTGGAAAAACCCGCGCGCTTTGAACTTGAATTCAATCTACCTGATATTTTTTACTTTTGTGTAAATATTCTGTAAATATCATGTAATTCGGATTTACAGAAAATTTACATATATTCTGTAAGAAAAACCCTGTAACTTTCATTTGAATATCATGCAAGTTTCCAAAATCATGTGAATCTATATYAAATTTTTATAATTATAGGATATTACAAGCATTTACATTCACAGCTTTCAAAGTGCGGGATTTTTACACTGATATTAAGAGAGATGACAAGAATATCATATTCTATAGATATGCATGATCTTTTCATGGCATTTTCCCATTATTTTTTTTCAAACAAATGCGTTTTTCAAGGACCCCACCACTTTTTAGCGTACATGTATTTTTTATGTGAAAGTATGAATTTTTTCACGACCCATGGGTTATTTTTCATGGTGCAACCAAGTTTTATGACCTATCTTATTTTTAAACCATATATTCAACGACCTATGATTATATAAAAGGTMTTTCGTCCTCATAAAAGCCATCAAATGATTTTGTGGTTACATCTTGATACTTTGAGTGACATTCTGTCAAAACACAACCAATAACCCACTAACCATAACCTTAGAACTTAAACAAAGACTTTTTAACCATTTTTTTGAGGGGAAATCCCTGGGTTTGCCATTTGTCTTTTTCAATATTTTTTTTATAGTTCACGATATGTATGATCGAAGAACCTTTGCGCGATTTTCTCAATGTCGAAAATTCGCCATYTTTGGTTTTGGACGAATGAGAAAGCACCTTTCAAAAGGCCCGTTTGCACTTGCGATTCGCGCGACTAGGCCCTGTTTACATGAGATAGGGTGGCGCTACGTGGAACGACTAACTCCTTTGTTTTCTTTTCCCTGGAGGATTGAAAGCAAAAGAGTTTAGCTCTACAACTGGGGTCACCCTATCTCATGTAAACAAAGCCTAAAATCGTACGTGTAAACAGCCCTGCGATTGTAGCGACGATGGAAGATCTCCGGGGGTTTCAGCCAATTTCCAAGCATGAAACTCAGGCGATGGTCGCGCGACGTGAAGTGTAAACGGGTCTTAAAGCAGAAAAAACGATCGCAAAGGCTTTTGGATGAACGTGGGCCTTTAACTAATGTATTTCAAATATCTATGGTAAAATTTGATTGACCGAGATTTTGATTGCTGAAATGGATGAATAAGGAATAAGGGCTGGTTTACACTACAATAAATTATAATCTCAAAAAAACAAACAAACAAACAAACAAAAAAAAAAAAACAGAAAACAACAACAACAACCAAAAACGACAACAGAGGATTTAGGGATTCAAATGAGTAAGACAAAATGAACGACCTTTTCTTTGTTTATTCCTTTGTCTTTGATTGGCTTATGTATTATGTTTACGCTAATCGCTATGCTTATGTCAGTGCACGCTTGATGTCATTTCSTAGTATTTTCTTTAGTTCTTGACTTCTGTTTACGACATAGTCTGAACCGGGGCTAAACTACACACATATAAACCAAGTTATAAATCTTGCACAAAATTAGTGAAAATCGAAAATCGAAACTGCAAACAGGTACAGCGACACGTTACAAATTCCATGGAATTTCTCCATCTACACTTTCCCCATTCTTSGGTTTGCATTGCTATTCTTTCGTGTAGAATATGGTCGCAAATGTAGCATCTACGACATATCGATAAATCCAAATAAGGTCGAAAATCCCATCCATGTCTGGTTATCGACGGCTCAGCGCTGTCTCTTAGCTTAAGTAGTGACAGTCACTTTTTCAATCATTTCATTCATCTTTTTTTTTATTCATAAGTGTTTCCTCTTGAATATCTATTTGGCATTTTCAAGTGTTTCAAAATCCATGCCAAACGCGGGTAAGCCAGATGCGACCATTTCAAGCCGCAGCCTCTTTTCCCAAACTTACCCCTTGATTGATGGCTTTATTCTTGAGTTTTAATTTACTATATTTCCTGCTGTCTTTCATACTACAATGACAAATAATGCCCCTAATGTTTTAGCTTCATTGCCACTCAATGACGCATTGCTATGATCTCATTTTATGTGAATACTTCAAAAGGAAACCCCACAGACTAACTATTCTTATCCTTTTCGTTTGCAGGTGTATAAACCTACAATACCAAGACAGCCCGGGAAAGCAGACTTTTCATTTTGGTAAGTTATTTTACATAAMACACTGTTAATATTACAGTTTATGAATACATATGATGATGGTCAATTTGTTTTCTAATTTCCCTGAAAAATTGTGTTTGAAATGCCGCGACTTAGCTTCGATAGTAGTGTGAATATAATGGTATTCTCTTGTTAAGATAATATCATAAATTATCTAAAAACAGGTGCGGAGCACTTTATATAGAGAGAAAACGATTATTCTGCATATCTGTGAATCTTTTAGTATCGTCCAACTTGCACTAGAGAAATCTCATACTCTTCAACTACCTTTCTTACCCAAACGCTCGAAGCTACTACCACATATACGTTTTGTTTAACTACCTTACAGTCTGAAGGAATTAACAATGGGTTTTATTGGTAAATGAAGTGCTTTAAAATGTCTGGTATTCCACTAGGACTGACCTCCTATCTTTTTAATTTCTAGCTAAGCTTAAACATAACTTATAAAGCACTAGGAGCGCTTATAATTGATCCTACGGGCAAGAATAATGTATTAAAATTATTTGACACAAATAATGTGGTAATAAAATATGCAAGATTAAACATATCATATACTATATGAAATAGAAATGTATGACCTTGATAAATGGTACAACTACGCGACAAATATCCAGGTATTTACTATTTTATAGTGGTCTAATTTCTTTGTTAAGTTCAATTGTTTAGTTTTATATTGGATCATGTTTTTCGCGAGTCTAAACTTCATTGATTCTTAAAACAACAATGAAAAAACAAGAAGAAGATTCTAAGAAAATATGCAGGCACATTAACTTGATACGTCGTTATTTTTAGGAAACTGTAGATCTTATACGTATAATGTGATGGACATGTAAGCTATATGTTCTCGTTTTCAGCCAAATGCGTTTTTTTGTTTTTATAAGTGTTCTGTCTCACTAACAGGTGATAACTGTACAGAGCTACTTGTTAGGAGCGGAATAATCCCCTCCCAGAACCTTGAAGTCTGAATGCTTTAGAGTGTAACTTTGTCCATCCACTTATGAGCGCTTGTAAATTGATATATAGATATTTTTWCTGCGTTTTCCGTTCTATTCAAGGGCTGTAAGAGACGCACTTGCCAACGAGTCCAAAGAGGACTGGATACGACAATTGAGCTTTTAACTCTAGGTTGGCTTGTTGTTCAAAACCCGATTAACGTTAATCCAGGGTTAATTCATCATAAGTTTTTAAAGAGTTTTAGGATTAGCCCTAATCGAGCTTTGATCAACCCCGTTCTGGTGTCTAAATTCCATATTTATTAAAAAAATTAAGCTTCGTAGCTGGCCCCTGAAATRCAATAATTTCCGAGTTCTATTTATTTGAAAACTCCTTTGCAATATTAATTTCGTTGACTAGTTTGAATTGCTCTTTAAATTACAAGATGTATGAAGCCCTAACGACTTTAGAACCGAGATGCATTTTCAAGACTCTATTTAAGCTAATCTTGGRCTCTAGGAAACTTAGTTAACAGCGTGATAGATCAACCTTATTGTGGATTGGACAGCCAGTCTACAGGTTCCCATTGTMATCAATAATTTGTTCGTCTTGACGTACTATTATTGTGGTATATTTTTTTATAGATCACCAAAAGTTGCTCCTTTCATTTTTGGAGGCTAATTAAGTAGACTTGCAATATAAGCCAGTTTTGTATTACCGTAAGTGGGTTTCAAGTGGCTATTTTAGAAAAGCAAAGTAAAATGCTTTGTATGATAGATTTTTTGGACTAAAAACATCGTTTCTCTTTCCTTCTTGAATTTCAGTCGTCTGTGGCGTTTGTCTGGTTGGTATTTGTTTCACTATTTTTAACAATTTAATTTCTTTGGCAAATTAAGGTTATTCTTTTCGCCAGTTTCTTTCCCTTTCCCTTCGGATGCACCTGCATTCTAGTCCCTTTTGCGCGTCCTCTCACATACGGGAATTAGCAGTATTTGAACAGGTCTAATGCTATTTCCTGCTTCAACTTCCCCCCTGATATCTTAGGGGAGTACTATCATTGAGCTATAGCTTGCGGGATAGTTTTTGAATCAGTCAGGAACTTTTAACAACATGTATTTTTCAAAACGTGCAAAACAAACGGTCTCAAAGGTTCCTGGATACAATTTGTTTTTAAAGGTACTATTATCCCTAATGGAAATGTTTCGCGTTGCCTTTAAGTAAAACAGTTCTTATAATCCAGTTTCGAATTCTCCAATGCTCTCTGTTAGCCTCATTTGTGCGCAAAATATTCCTAATTGTAATTTCAGATCAATTCTATTGTCTTTCTTTTCAAATACTCCAGTTTCGAGTTCAAAGCGAATAACCGCTGTTTTACTTGACAGAAGATTCTATTACGCAAAGAACTTACCAAAGACAAAAGAAAGCAGGAGAAAATGTTGTTAATACAATAGCGCTAAGAATCTACATTTTCCCCGAGTTGGGGCTAACCCTGTATTCCCAGAAGGCTCATACCTTAGGTCTTATGGGAATACAGGGATAATCTCAACTCGGGGAAAATGCAAACTTTCAAGTCTATTGTAATAACGACATTTTCTCGTGCGCTCTTTTGTGTTTGTAAAGTCTTTGCGCAAGAGAATCGGTTGTCAAATAATGCAGCGGTTATTCGCTATGAATTCGAAACTGGAGTATTCCATGCTTTTTCTCGCGGGCTATCAATGAATCGAAAGAATACGTTGCTTGGTTTTGAGGCTAACACAGAGCAAACCAGAACTCGAATTTGGGGTATTCCTTGGTTGGCGTCTCCCCATTTGTATTTTGAATGGATTTATTGATTCTTTTTTACTCATTGTCTTTGTCTTATTCGCATTCGTGATCCTTTTGGATAAAGTAAAGATAGACTTAATGTCGCTCCAATTCACTGAAGAAGTTGATCAATTTCAAGTTACAGGGTCTGTAAATTTGCTGTAAATTATTGACAAAATGTCATTTTAAAAAAACTTTGGAAATCGATTTTACAAGATATTTACAATGTTTGATTGAGGGGAGGCTTCACAAAGTCCTTTTTTTCTTCCCTTTGTCATGAGTCCAAAGAGAGTCCGAATTATGGAAAGTCGATTGAACAAAATTTACAAGATATTTACAATGTTTAATTGAGTAAAATGTACAAGATATTTACAGAATGTACATAAAATGTACAAACAAAAAAAAAAAAAACAATTTTTCTGTAAATTGAATTTACACAGGAGCCCATTACTAGAAGCCTTCCTCTTTTTAATAGGTTCTTGGGACGGCATTTACCCTCACTATTGGTCCTATTTTTAGAATTGCTCATTATAAATTCATTATAAATTTCGCTAATATTTAGCCGACGGCGAGGACGCCAAGGATAGAAAACAGGTGTAGTCATGGGGATACATGGAAAAATCTGGAGAAAAACCAACACGGTTTATGCTCAACCTTTCGTTGAGCAGCCGAAGACCAACAAGAAAAAAAATCGACTCAATTCTAGATCTTTAACACGACTATAAAAGAATTCATTAATCACAACATTTTAGAGGACTGTTCATCGGCTGTTCAAGAAAAAGTGCCGAAATTCCGTAGTCTGACTTCATTTGTGAAGAGATTTAGAAGTTATCTTTCTTTTGTTTAGATGCAAAATATTTTACAAAACGACCACAAACAAATTTATTACTAGTAATTAAATGCTGATTTTCACATTTGTAGTCTGTCACATTTTTTTTAGATGAAGAACTATTGTAAGAATAGACTATTTTGTGTTCACTGTCATATTTTTAAGAGGTCAGATTTGTGTAAAGAGATAAAAAATGACAAATTTTCTCTTATGTAACTTAGCTATAATAATTTTGCTTATTTTTTCTACCTTTTCACTATCTACAGACATTTCAATATAATCGTTCATGAGTTTTAACCTTTATGGCAAAATAKTTTTAAAAGCGATAATTTCTTCACTTCTGAAATATAAAATTCTCTACGGCTCTTCACAACTCGGCATCTCAATAAGCGCGCKGGGAATGGCGGGAAAATCTAAAAATAGCACCAAGAGGGGTAAATGCCGTTCCACAACCCCACCATCGATTTTATACAATTTATAATATTATGGAAACACCCAACACTGTCATATGGAGGAACTATTAGAAATAGATATTCATAGAATGTCATAGCTTAATTATAAATACTAACAAAGTTATGGAGGAATAAAAATACATGGATTTGTATGGAATTTTATACTTTTTGATAGAAAAATGACCTGACCTCAATAAATTTAATAATTTCAAAGTGATTTCTATTTATTTTTGAAAACTCTAGAAATAGGGRATGGCTCACCAACCGCTAAATCCGTCCTCAAATCTAATTCGAAAATGAAAATATTAGTGACTTCCCAAGGTGTTTTAACTTTATTACATAATAAAATAGAGTAATTATTGACAACATATCTCTCCTTGGTGTGTCCTTATAAATGTCATCTTGTAGAATTCGTGTACTTCCTCCCTCGCGAAAGGTCTAATTGCAGACCATTTGTATGGATGACTGCAGTGTTGTTAATGGATGTTGTTGTTAGTTTTGTCATATTACGAGATTTAACTATCAAWGGACTTGAAATAGGGCGTGAGACCATTAAATCCGTGCGAATTTTATATTTGTTGACAAGAAACGTACGAAAATAAGAGATTCTCGCTAGATTAGAGGGATTTCAAATCTCCGATAAACAAAGTAACATAGTTGAAGCTGTTAAAGTGTAATAAAAACAGAATATTACATGGTTGATTAGAGATATGGATTTTATCTTCTCGTGTTGAAAATCGCTACGCTCACTCGTGATAGATCTTTTTTCTAACACTCGAAGATAAAATCCGTATCACCGCGCGCCCTAAATACTCGATATACGCCAAAAGACGAAAAACATGCAAAGTAAGAGGAATAAACATAAAAAATATAAAATTCATACTTTATTATAGAGAACTTTCAAAAAACCTTGACTGTTCGTTTTATTTACAATATTAAGAGAACTGATCACTGTTTTTTTGTCG